ATTGGACGAAAGTTATTTTGCTTTTTGAATTATCTCGGGGAACATTAGGTAGGTTCACGAAACCAGTTTTCGTTCAAATAATTAGAGATCACCTCTAATTAGTTACCTTTAAATTAGCTGTACGGTACGTACTTAATAAAGTAGGCTGAAAGGTACAAATCCAGTTGATAGCAATGGACAAGCGTAGATTAAGGTTGCGACCTGAGCTAGCTGAAAAGCTGGTGTTCGTATACTGCAACAAAAGGATGAAGCTTTGAGTTTAACGATAATTACAAGTAGTAGTAGTGTAGTACCGGTTAATTTGTGTGTTTATTTTCGACTTCTAGTTCTGTATCAAAAATTATGATGATAATACTAATAAAAAATTGCAAGTAATTCACTGAAGTTGATTCTAACAAGAATTTCGCCGCGGTAACACCACGCACGATCAAATTTCCCTACTGCATACAAATACAATTTAATTGTTCTACTTTATTGTATCCCAGAGTGGTGTTTGGCGCATGTACAATGTAATAAACGTTTATATTATATTAGGCGTGCAGAACTTGAACAAGAATTGCGCCCGTTGTTTCGTTTTGGCGGACGCTAGATTTCCATTTCACATTTACTATAAATTTAAGTATAACTATAAGCTCCAATCAGCTCACTTCAATCTTCATGATAATAATATTGATCAATTATGCATCAAATACGGGAAACACTTGAAATTCAGTTCAATTGCCGTAGAACTTAACTTGTATCTGTAATTCAAGAAATTATCAGCAAAGGTAAACTATACTCGTGTACACATCAATACACTACGCGTGCCACGTACAAATTGGGTGTATTACCTAATAGTAATATTATTGATACATGTTTCGTATCCCAATATCAGAGATAATTCGGCGGCGCGCGCTTCGCGCGCGAAAAGTGGCATGCAACGTATGTCAATAATATTATACATTACATGCATCATATACACAGTCGCGCCGCGCATTCATAGATCACAGGCTATCTATACATCACATCTCCGCAAGCAATCCTCGCGCGCGCCCAACTTTTTCGTTGCATGGTAACGAACGAACACACGACATATTTAAACCCACCTATCTCGTTCTCCAAAATCCACGTTTTTCTGCAAAAACCTCCATTCATAACCTTTCACTATTGCCTTTTTTCAAAAGAGTGAAAAGGAAAAAATCCTGCGCGCATCTGAGGTGTCGCCGTCGATCTGTATGTGGTTTGGTTGTAGATCATTTCATACTTTGCGCGGTTTTGTTTCGTGTTAACAATAACGATATGCGTATCATGTCACGTCATATTACTGCATCGTATGCCAACTTATTGACTGTAATAAAATATGCTGTCTCGTCTTAGTTATTATTTGTATCTAACATAAACTAATACATTTTGATTCTTACTCGACACATCACAGCACCATCGACTTTCGAGCCTTTTATTTGATATAGGATTCTTTAAAAGAATACCACAATCTTGATATTATAGTTGCTTCTTAAATGTAACTGTGAAGTAACATTTGTTCTCAACTATGTATTCCAATGCTTTCTACCATTCAGTGTCGATTAACTGTTAAATAATCAGCCCACAGCCACGAGTTTATCAGCTGACATCATAATTTTATTTGTTTTGACTTGCTGAATTTTATCACTCGGTAATTTATTAAGATTGTTTCACACAAATAACACCTATATTGATGATTGATCCGTTTGTAACAGTCGTCAAGCACCAAAAACTGGTTGCTATGCCTGTAATTAATTAACTCATAACCAGCGTCGCGCGCGCAAAATAGACTCCTTTTATACACATAATTATAGGGGAGTGGTCTATATTGCGAAGGAGCAGACTTTTGTCATCATCGTAGGACCGTCGGGCCACCTCATATATCCAAACCCGATTACTTATTCCCTACGATCTTTTTGCCTTCTATTCGGCAAGAGTAGGGAAAAAAATTTGAAAAAATTGTACCTTACAGTGCCTGTACCGTACGTACCTTTAAAAGTAGCTGTACCGTACGTACTTAAAGCCCTGTACCGTACGTACTTGCCATCTAAGATCGGGGAGCCAATAGAAGTTACCAGTTAAGGAGGTGGCTTTAATTAGGCCTTTGGGGAATGCGGTCTCTAGGACTCCTGTTAATTAAAGTGTCTGGGAATCATTTGGTTGGAAGTTTTACTTCCACTTCGATGTTTAGGGGCGGATCGGGATTTGTCAATATGAGGAAATACAAGGTATAGGCCATCTTCACAACTATCAACTTTTTTTTGGTGGCGCCCCGCCATATGAGAGTGGTGTAGGGGTCTAGTCTTAGTAATATCTCCAATATCTGAGAAGTTATGTTTAAGTGTCAAGCTTTGTTTAGTTGGCCTGATGAGTTTGAATTAAATTTTAGGAATAATCTTTAATAAATGAGGAGACAGACAAGATAACTGCCGTCATATTATATTGTAGGTTTGTTATGCTTTGTTATGTTTACAATCATTAAGGCACAAGCAGGATGACGTGGTTTTGCTATGATCATATATATTTATTACCGAGTAGGTCTTATAATTATATGCTTAATTATAAATTATAACTTCGTCCTTTTTTTGACGGCGTTATTCTCACTAGCTCTGGCGGCATCATTAACGGTATAACTTATTCTTCGTCCATCTGACGGCGTCGCTTTTTAATAGTGGTCTAACTTAGTCTTCGTCCCTCTGACGACATCGTTAAGTTTAACGGTATAATTACTTCGCTCTTACTCTAATTTTTTGCGGCATCGTTAACGGTATAATTCATTCCTCGTTCATCTGACGGCGTCGCTCTTTAATAGTGGTTTAACTTATGCTTAATACTTTAATAATATAATTATTCTACCTTACTTACCCGGTAATAAAGTTCAAGTAAAATTGCGGTGGCAGAGCCAAGTGCTCGACAGCGTTTATTTTATAACATGTTGTAAGATTTAAATAACAAGGCGGAGTTAGTTTGCAGATCAACGGGGGGGGGGGGGGGGGGGGGGGGGGCGGTGGGTAAACACGTAAGTTATACAATGGCATACATAAGGGGAAACAATGCGAAAGAAACATTCTGTTATATCGTTTTTTTAAAGGTTTAAAATTAACGTAGTTCACTCTTCGTAATTATTTCGTTATTTGTTTCACTTTCACCACTAGTATTTTGTATAATGTATCTATTAGCCTCAATTGTGTAGGCTTGATTAAGATGTGATCCCGATGGTCTCATTAACAGTTATTCCGCCAAGTGTTTTGTGTATTACCATCAGGGACAGGTAGGGTTTCAAGTCCGTTTCCCGTTTCACCTTATTTTGAGCAGTTAATTAATGCAATCCGGCCTGTCAGCCGATGATCCCTCTTTGCGTGATCCTGTTATGGAGAGCCCAATTGTAATTATGTGTATATAGGGTTAGGGGCTCATATTTTGATATAGCTTGGGTTGTTCATTTCTTACCTGTTTGATTGAATAGAATTTGTTACTTTTCGACTACATAATATGGATGTTGACATGGAGTCCCTGGGGCCAATGAAGACGCTGACGCTATTGGTCGATAACCATATTGTCGATTTCTTAAAGTTGAGATCGGGGCTATTGATAGCAATATTAGGCTATGCGGGTATACTGAGGAAATTCACGCAGGACTGGAGATCCTGTTTCAGACGTATCGGCACAGTGCATTGCTAAATGCTGATCTGGTGATCGTGGTGATGCTGACCGGATCATTTCGGTGGGACGACCACGACTTGATAGTACCTAATCTGGGACATACGATGGGGCTGGTGAATCACCACCTAAGGGACTTAACTCTGGAGGAGGTGCGTTGGCTGGTTAGCGAGTAGCCTACTGTGGCTGCCAGTTATGGCAGGTGAAGTGACTTCCTGCGACGTCCTACTAGAATTTGAAGTCAGGATTTCAAAGCAGACGAAGAATTTGTTATCATTTATATAACAGAAATATACTCACTGAACGAGTTTTATTTTTTATTATTTTTAACTTATACGTACGTGGGATTATTAGAGCCGGTTTAGTCCCGTAATGATCGATTTCTTTATTGTATTTAGTTTTATCACAACTTAGCATCTTATTTTATTATGTTCATAGTTCAGTTATTACTGGCTATACCCTAGGGTTATGCGTTTCTATTGTGCTTAAAATGTGTGTCTATTCTATAGTTATAATAACCACATTCCCCTGCAAAGAAGGAGAAACTGAAAGTCCGATCGTTGGGTTCAGACTTCAGTTGTCGTATTTCCAATTTAAGTGCAGTTGTGATATGACCTGGGTTCAGTTGTCGTTTTGGGATTTAAGCTGATTGGTCACCCAATTCAGCTGATCGGGTGCCTGTTAACTGCGTGGGAACTATGTTCAATTGGGTTCAGTTGTTGGTCATCCCTCCCGCTCGTTCCCCCGGCTAGGTGCCATGCTCCAGAAATGTCGTTATTTCATCTTAACTACCAGAACGGCGCCATGTGATTGGTCAGGTAATTTGCTGGGTGGAACTATAATTCAGCACCTTCGTACAGGGGCCTCTATAGGCGGTCAGGCTCTTTTAGTGTTCAGTTAGGCCAGTCGATTCTATGATGGCTGGAGTGGAATTGGAAGAAGTGACTCACTAATCCATGGGTCATTGGTACCGATCGGGGAGCCAATAGAAGTTACCAGTTAAGGAGGTGGCTTTAATTAGGCCTTTGGGGAATGCGGTCTCTAGGACTCCTGTTAATTAAAGTGTCTGGGAATCATTTGGTTGGAAGTTTTACTTCCACTTCGATGTTTAGGGGCGGATCGGGATTTGTCAATATGAGGAAATACAAGGTATAGGCCATCTTCATTCTTCACATCATCTTTAGGCGGAATTTACTGTTAATATAAACTTAAAGTGTCAGCTCAGAGGCTTTCCAAAAGTTGGTTCCTGTACTGGTAAAGAAGGTTCACGGCCTTCAGATGCTTTATTAGTCAACAGTGACAATACGGAAAATAAAATATAATAAATTAGATAAGGTAAAAATAACATTACAAGATGGTTTTGTAAATAAAGTAAAATAAATATTAGAATATTGAATGCAGATTACAAATGTTTGTTTAGAGTGGTGTTGAACAGTACTCCTACAGTTAAACCAAGCTTTTAAAAATATTAATCATATTACACTTGTTAATTACAGCTGACAATGTACGTGATCTGAAATAGGAAATATCTTGATTAGTTAAGTATTTGTGAAATATTAGTGAAAGTCCTGATTCGACCTCATCGTGTTTACGGAGCTCATCAATAAATTCGTCTCATCTTATATAAAAGCGTTAAAAAGCGTGAAGATGCGATTTTTAAACTTGATAATTTAATAATTTAATAACAGTTGTTATGTAATAACTCTAAATCATTTTGCTTATCAGATGTTATCATTTTAGAAACTCAACCATTCAAAAAATTGATCACAAAAAAAACTACTCCAGCATTTCAACACCTTCTTCAGGTAACTTATCTAATAAAGGTGTAGTAAGGTGTAGTAAGGTGTAGTAAGGTGTAGTAAGGTGTAGCATTTAACAAATCAGAAAAGCAACTCAAACTTTCTTTCTCCTACACAGCTGTAATAAGTTAGTGAGACCTACACACATAACACAGTACGCAGTAAGGAAAGCCAACACCACAAAAATAGTGATCCCCACTTTATGCAGGGTGGTACAGTTAGTGAAGCTGGGCCAGCCTGTTGGTACGAACTGTAGACACGTGTATACTCGGTTTAGTGTGTAGTTTGTGTTGTTACAGCTGAACTGTCGACCTAGTGTGAACTCCCAGGTGGGCAGCAGGGTTACTGTGTAGAACTGGGTCCTCTCTTTCTCGTCTCTCATACCTGAGGTTAAATTAAAATGTTAGAACTGGGTTCTCTCCTTCTCGTGTCTGATACCTGAGGTTAAATTAAAATGTTAGAACTGGGTTCTCTCCTTCTCGTCTCTCATACCTGAGGTTAAATTAAAATGTTAGAACTGGGTTCTCTCTTTCTCGTCTCTCATACCTGAGGTTAAATTAAAATGCTAGAACTGGGTTCTCTCTTTCTCGTCTCTGATACCTGAGGTTAAATTAAAATGTTAGAACTGGCATGGGTTCTCTCTTTCTCGTCTCTAATACCTGAGGTTAAATAAAAATGTTAGAACTGGGTTCTCTCTTTCTCGTCTCTCATACCTAAGATATTAGCGTTTCATTGGCCGAGTTAAGTTACTTAATTAAATAACTTATTAGTTATTAAATTTTTTTATATAACTTATAACTTTAAACGCGTTAGGACTTAGGAGAAATTCATTTAAAAAAACCTTTTTTGAGAGTGACTAGTGAAACTGAGAGAAGATGGAGCAATATTTTAAATTAAAATGTTAGTAAATTAAGGATAAAGTTAATTTAAAAGCAGCAGTAATTAATAAACTAATTAACTAATCACCAGTATAAGTAAGGGAAAGAAGATGTCCAGCACTAATATCACTGCTTGTAAGTTCGCTCAGACACCAAAAGGGGGAATCGTCTGCTGACACTGTTGTATTATACCTGTTGTTATACATTATACATAATACATAAAACATAATACATTATACATAATTCATAATACATTATACATTATACATTATACATTATACAATATACAATATACAATATACAATATACAATATATATTATATATTATACAATATACAATATACAATATACAATATACAATATACATTATACATTATACATTATACATTATACGTTATACGTTATACGTTATACGTTATACGTTATACGTTATACATTATCCATTATGCATTATGCATTATGCATTATGCATTATGCATTATGCATTATGCATTATGCATTATGCATTATGCATTATGCATTATGCATTATGCATTATGCATTATGCATTATGCATTATGCATTATGCATTATACATTATACATTATACATTATACATTATACATTATACATTATACATTATACATTATACATTATACATTATACATTATACATTATACATTATACATTATACATTATACATTATACATTATACATTATACATTATACATTATACATTATACATTATACATTATACATTATACATTATACATTATACATTATACATTATACATTATACATTATACATTATACATTATACATTATACATTATACATTATACATTATACATTATACATTATACATTATACATTATACATTATACATTATACATTATACATTATACATTATACATTATACATTATACATTATACATTATACATTATACATTATACATTATACATTATACATTATACATTATACATTATACATTATACATTATACATTATACATTATACATTATACATTATACATTATACATGATACATTATACATGATACATTATACATTATACATTATACATTATACATTATACATTATACATTATACATTATACATTATACATTATACATTATACATTATACATTATACATTATACATTATACATTATACATTATACATTATACATTATACATTATACATTATACATTATACATTATACATTATACATTATACATTATACATTATACATTATACATTATACATTATACATTATACATTATACATTATACATTATACATTATACATTATACATTATACATTATACATTATACATTATACATTATACATTATACATTATACATGATACCTTATACATTATACATTATACATGATACATTATACATTATACATGATACATTATACATTATACATTATACATTATACATTATACATGATACATTATACATGATACATGATACATTATACATTATACATTATACATTATACATTATACATTATACATTATACATTATACATTATACATTATACATTATACATTATACATTATACATTATACATTATACATTATACATTATACATTATACATTATACATTATACATTATACATTATACATTATACATTATACATTATACATTATACATTATACATTATACATTATACATTATACATTATACATTATACATTATACATTATACATTATACATTATACATTATACATTATACATTATACATTATACATTATACATTATACATTATACATTATACATTATACATTATACATTATACATTATACATTATACATTATACATTATACATTATACATTATACATTATACATTATACATTATACATTATACATTATACATTATACATTATACATTATACATTATACATTATACATTATACATTATACATTATACATTATACATTATACATTATACATTATACATTATACATTATACATTATACATTATACATTATACATTATACATTATACATTATACATTATACATTATACATTATACATTATTGTACTGTTTAATTGTACCTAACTAGTCTTTTGTACTATCTTCAAGGACTATGAATGTTTTGAGAACAATTCCTTATAGTCTGGTCAGTTATGGATATTTACCTGCATTTCATAGTAGAGGGCTGACAATTTTTTTAGGGGCTCTCAAAGGTCTTGAGAACCGAAAAAACTTCGGAGCCCTAAAATTCAGACTGGGAAAATCGCCCATTTGGCCACGCCCATTTTTGGTACCAAAATGTCCAGGCGCAATCTGAGTGAAATATATATAATGTCATTCCTAACATGTTAGGGGTCTAAATCTATGTATTTTTGCACGACGAATCGATTGGCAAGGTTCTTAAAGCTCTAAAACACTTATTTTTTGCAAAAATCTGAATAAATAGTATTTTACGCGCCAAATTGTTCAGTCGCGAATGATAAAAATCGTTCAAAATCGATTTCCTGACATGTTAGATGTCTAAACCCATGCATTTTGCACGACGAGTTGATTGGGAAGAAAATTCAAGCCCTAAAACACTTCTATTTAGTGGAAAAATGAAGAAATCGTGTTTTATTTGTCCCAATTTTGAAATCAGAATTGGTTCAAAAATGTTAAAAATTGAATATCTGGTCAGGGGAAAAGTGAAAATCCGTTGGATTTGAAGGATAATAAGAATTTAGCAACAGAAAATAGTAGTTAGGACCCCTATGAACATAATAAGACTTGTCCCCAATTTTTATGTCACGGCAACACCACTTTTTACCACTTTTTACCACCTTCTTACCACCTTTCTGGTTTGCCAAATATCTTTAGTTGTGAACGTCGTAGAAGGTTGCAAATTAATCGAGGTTGTTCATCTCATCAAGGAGAAAAACCTTTGTTAGAAAACTTTTTAGGTTGGACAATCAGCCAATTGGATGATTACCAATTAGCTAATTACCAAAACGATTGATAATCTATAATCAGACCGAGTTGCACTTTTTGTCACTCTTGCAATAGGCCCGGTATTATAGGGAGGTATAGGAAACAAGTGTAAATATACATTATAACATCCACTGTTGCTTTTTTGTATTGCCGCTTCGTTTGCTATGCAAGATACCTCAAATCACTCCCATATTATGTCATAGTCAGGGTCGGGATAGAGTAGGAGGTAGCATTCAGAGTTCAGAGGTTGCTAGAAATAGCTAGATTCAGAATGAACTGGTGTGGTGCTGGCATGGAGGTAGCAGATCGTAGCTAAATCAAATGAAGTTCTTATGAAAACGGGGAACTGGGAAGCTAAGGCTTGTTAAGACCCAAATGATGTTTGAATCTGTCCTGATAGATCCAGTGAAGAGCGAGCAGCGAAGAATTTGGTCACTGACCTAAAGAAGAAGAGGGCTAAAGTCTAAACAGACTCATCTCGATCACTAAATTGGGTACGGGAAGGTCTGGAGCCGTGATAAGAATTACGAACATTTTTCTCGGCTTATTTTAGTAATTATGAATAACTAAGCGGAAAGGGCTGAACCTGAAAAAGGTAAACCACACAATATAAGAGTTTCATAATTAATTACATTACAGCCTTATCAAATTCCACATAAAGAAACAGCACAAAACTAAAAGGACCATTTGAGATCAAAGCGAATTACCTGCTGTACTATAATTTTATTGATTGCAATGATTAAAACCTCTCTATACTATCAATCTTGCCAATCTATACCGGGTACCTGAATGTACTGGGCCTCTTCTTTGCATCTTGATCTATAATTAGACCGAGTTGCACTTTTTGCCACTCTTACAATAGGCCCAGTATTATAGGGAGGTACTGGAAGCAAGTGTAAATATACCTTACAACATCCACTGTGGCTTTTTTGTATTGTGAATGTGCATGCCGCTTCGTTTGCTATGCAAGATACCTCAAATCACTCCCATGTTATGTCATAGTCAGGATAGAGCAGGAGGTATCATTCAGAGTTCAGAGGTTGCTAGAAATAGCTAGACTTAGAATAAACTGGTGGTAGCTGGTTGGTGCTAGCATGGAGGTAGTAGAACATAGCTCTTCACGAAGTTACATTGGAGTTAGTTATTTTAATGGCCAAAGAGTGCTGGAGCTAAAGTTACTTAAAGTTGAAGGGCAGTGCAAACCACGGCGGAGTCAGGGACACAGAGCTACAGTACAGGAGTACTGCAAAAGAACAGTGGAAGTGATATAGTCTGCAAAATTAAAACGTCGAAGAAGGAGATAAAATTGTGGCTGCAGAGGAGGAGAGGAGCAGGAACCTGATTGTGTTTGGGTTGAAAGAAGAGCAGGAAGGAGGGTTTCCTGCTCAGGTATTTTTGGAAGAGGTGAGGTGAGAACTTATACCCAAGCGACAAGGGTGGGCTGGAAGCGACCAGGTACAGCTATCCGACCAATAAAAATCACCGTCCTGAGCTTAACAGCCTTTCATCAGATTTTGATGAAAACAGGTAGACTGACACAGCCTTTTCAGATCCAACCAAACCCTTGAATCAAACACTTTTCCACATGAATAACTTCATGGTATCTTCTTATCACGGCTACAGACCTTCCCGTACCCAATTTAGTGATCGAGATGAGTCTGTTTAGACTTTAGCCCTCTTCTTCTTTAGGTCAGTGACCAAATAATTCTTCGCTGCTCGCTCTTCACTGGATCTATCAGGACAGATTCAAACATCATTTGGGTCTTAACAAGCCTTAGCTTCCCAGTTCCCCGTTTTCATAAGAACTTCATTTGATTTAACTACGATCTGCAACCTCCATGTCAGCACCACCCAGCTACCACCAGTTCATTCTGAGTCTAGCTATTTCTAGCAACCTCTGAACTCTGAATGCTACCTCCTACTCTATCCCGACCCTAACTATGAAATAATATGAGAGTGATTTGAGGTATCTTGCATAGCAAACGAAGCGGCATGCGCATTCACAATACAAAAAAGCCACAGTGGATGTTGTAAGGTATATTTATACTTGCTTCCTAATACCGATTTCCGGCCTATTGCAAGAGTGACAAAAAGTGCAACTCAGTCTAAATTCTAATTATAGATGCAAAGAAGAGGCCCAGTACGTTCGAAATTTTTCTAAAAACTACATTTATCCGTGTTTCAATTGATATCGATCATTTTGAGCCAATAAAAAATTTTCAATTGTTTTGGTAATTAGCTAATTGGTAATTATCCAATTGGCTGATTGTCCAACGTAAAAAGTTTTCTAACAAAGGTTTTTCTCCTTGATGAGATAAACATCCTCGATTAATTTGCAACCTTCTACGACGTTCACAACTAAAGATATTTGGCAAACCAGAAAGGTGGTAAGAAGGTGGTAAAAAGTGGTAAAAGGTGGTGTTGCCGTGAGATAAAAATTGGGGACAAGTCTAAATATATTCGTAGGGGTCCTAACTACCACATTCCGTTGCTAAATCCTTATTGCCTTTCAAATCCAACGGATTCTCCCCCTATTCAATTTTTAACATTTTTGAACCAATTCTGATTTCAAAATTGGGACAAATAAAACACGATTTCTTCATTTTTCCACTAAATAGAAGTGTTTTAGGGCTTGAATTTTCTTCCCAATCAACTCGTCGTGCAAAATGCATGGGTTTAGACACCTAACATGTCAGGAAATCGATTTTGAACGATTTTTATCATTCGCGACTGAAAAATTTGGCGCGTAAAATACTATTTATTCAGTTTTTTGCAAAAAATAAGTGTTTTAGAGCTTTAAGAACCTTGCCAATCGATTCGTCGTGCAAAAATACATAGATTTAGACCCCTAACATGTTAGGAATGACGTTATATATATTTCACTCAGATTGCGCCTGGACATTTTGGTACCAAAAATGGGCGTGGCCAAATGGGCGATTTTCCCAGTCTGAATTTTAGGGCTCCGAAGTTTTTTCGGTTCTAAAGACCTTTGAGAACCCCCAAAAAAATTGTCAGCCCTCTACTATGAAATGCAGATTTTGATCTGATTTTGTCCATAACTGACCAGACTATTACTTTCTAATACTAAGTTTTTTCTAAGTTGTTACTTGTTTTAAGTTTTAACACACCAAATATCGAGTGTTAATCATAACTACCAGATACCTTGATTTAGGGGCGATCTCAGGAATAACAAGAACACTAATATTGAGACTTTCTCCTGCAGTCTGACAGGTAATCTTCAGTGGGAGGTCCTTCGTGGAGTCTACTTTAGTCATACAACTATTCTCTGTTACTATTGGGGGTCTAACTTCAGGTTCTGGCAAACACTCTCTGAAGATATCGTTATCCTTATTTACGGTTGAAAAATGGGTTGAAAGGATGACCGAACGATAATTTATTTGAAAAGTTAATGGATAGCTAAATTGGTAAGGTTTACTTATAGATCATTCCTAAAGTAAACTTATCAACTAATAAACAAATAGCTAATTAGTAAATTACTAATTAATTAATTACTAATCACCTGGAAGTGTTTCTGAACTTAGTTTGTTCCATGGTAGAGTAACAGTAAATGTTGGCAACCTCATTCCGGCTTATCGTTATCACGTACTGTCCTCTTGTTATCTCTGAACACCACAGCAACAGAAACGTCGCGATGTTTATTAGTCTGTGTAACATTTTCTGTTTGCAGTTAGTACTGAGTTAGTTCTGATTCTTATACATTATACATTATATGTCATTTTACCAAAACCCATAATCATGGGTAGAGTGGACCGCTGTCAGTGTCTCTCTTTCCCAAACAAAAGGAAATGATATTAATTTGATTGACCGTTCTCAAATGCAAAATGATACCGAGAATGAAATCGGTCGCTCGCTTTTCCCATTCATTCACGGCTTACGAATTGTATAATTAAGTTTCGATTGATTACATCAATCAGATGCTGTAAAAATCTCTTTGGGTTGCGTTCGGGTCGATACCTAGTATTTCGGGGTAAGGGACAAGGGTGGTAGTTATATTACTTATTGAACAAGCGGAAGTTTATTGAATCTTCATTGCCGAGTACAGCTGCCTTTGGATAGTTCTTCTTAATCTATTACAATTGTAAATGAATGGGAAAAGCGAGCGACCGATTTCATTCTCGGTATCATTTTGCATTTGAGAACGGTCAATCAAATTAATATCATTTCCTTTTGTTTGGGAAAGAGAGACACTGACAGCGGTCCACTCTACCCATGATTATGGGTTTTGGTAAAATATCATCTCTTTTTGATTATAATGTCAGGGTACTTTATAAAGTCGAAATATAAACTGATATCTTCATTAATAAGGAGGAAGTTTCAACGATTTCGAAATTTTTCCTTTAAAAACATTTCCTTGTGTTTAGGGAAGCATATCGGTCGATCACTGACTGAATATGCCACTTAATACTCATTCAAGTTGGCATTAAATTCGTATATAATGACATTAAACTGTCGTGGCAAAGCAGAATTTGTTGGAAATCACGAATGAGCAAAATTCTCACCTTTCGCACGTGCAAACTTTGAGCGGACGTTGCGTGCGCATCCAATATTGAATCGCCGTAAATTTTTGCATGCAATTGTTTTATATATAGCTTGATAAGCATGCAAAGTTTCAAAGTATTTCAAGAAGAACTGTAATCACAACGGCACTCTAAAGTTGACAGAAAATGACGAAAACAGCAATTTTCAGTGATTTTAGCGATTTTGTATCAATTTGGGCGTGTCCCCACGTGTGCAACTTTTCGATTTTCAACTTTAAAACTAGCCTAATACACAATTTATACCTATAGGAAGCAGAACTGAGCTTCAAAACCCAAGGCATGGCCCAACACCAGAGAATACTAAATCGCAAAATTGACGTTTTTATAAAATAATTTTTCAAAAAAGCACAAACTTCAATGACGAATATCTTTATGAAGGAGCAAGCTAGAAAAACTTTCAGGTAGATTTTCAGAATGCTTGAATAATTATCTAAGATGAAAATTTCCTCAGATTTTGAATAAAATTACTCCTTAATGGTTTAAAATTAATTTTAAAAGTTAATACTTTGTCAAAAATCAAGTTTTAAAAACGGTTAACTTGATGACGTCATCAAGGGGTGTTTATGACGTCAAATAATTTTTTTACACAATGTAAACTAAAGTATAAACAATTATTTGCAAGACCTGTGGTCGGAAATGGCTGTATCTTTTATACTTTTGAATCTATGGACACTTAAATACAGGCTACAAATGACTGGCAAAGCGTCTATCCCTGAATATATATATATATATGTATATATATGTACTAGTGTAACCCGGCCTTCGGCCGGGATTTCACTGCCGCAGTTAAAAAGGGTAGGAGTAATTACCCGCTGAGTCAAAGCCCGCATTAGGCGAGCAATTCTATTTGGAGTTCCCTCACGTATCCAATAGTATCTGTACCACGACTATTACACCTCATCACTCCCGTCTTAAACCGATTCAAATCGTTTTAGAAATTAACCCTTATTAACTCCGCACCACACCCGCCTTATATTTGAAAACATGCATTACATTGTCGTATGAAAGTAAACAAACAGACCGCAATGAGTGGCTCCCCCCCCCCCCCCCCCCCTCCTAATAAGCTGATAGTATTACACGCATAAACATTGTCGTATGAAAGTATGAACTGTCTGTACAGTTTAAACAGACCGCAATCAGTGCCCTATTCTCCTAATATCACTTGCGGAGCTAACCTAATTACCAAAGCTACAATCTACAGTGCAGTAATAGAAAAGAGAGCGAATAGGAAGAGAAAGTGAGCCATTTTAGTGGCTCACTCCATAATGTTGCATTAATAGTACAAAACCATCAATTAAGCCACTTACCGCTGGCCGATTTAAAAAAAATTTGCATATGGGCTTCGTCAGAGTTTTGTCGACACTATACCGAAAAAACCAGTCCCGTAACTCTTACCATTTTCTTTGTATAACCGTTCGGAAATTACACACGAACGATCACACACACACACATTCTGGTGTTATTAAGTTGATGTATATATCACGACAATCTATCGTAAAACAGGGGTTCTAGAAAACCCATTTCCCGATGCTCCTGAAACCTGAAACTTTTTTTGCAGTCGATTTGGTCAACGTCTAGACGCCCTGAAAAAATTCAGATCTCTAACTCAATTTTAACATGGTTTTTAAGGCACCTGAATATGGCGATTTTGGGTTTTTTACCGAATTTCGTATAACAGTGCTGGCGAGTATTTTATGCAAATTTCTTAAAAATCTCAACATAACTATTTTTTATTCCTGTCATCTTTGACATCAAATTAGAATGTTTTGAACTAAAAATAAATCTGCTGAACGACTTCCGATGAGTCTTAATGCCTGAAAAACTCCTGCCGGAGGCGGCGGCGGCCGAAGGCCGCCGCCTCCGGCAGGAGGCGGCGGAAAAAATTCAGATCTCTAACTCAATTTTAACATGGTTTTTAAGGCACCTGAATATGGCGATTTTGGGTTTTTTACCGAATTTCGTATAACAGTGCTGGCGAGTATTTTATGCAAATTTCTTAAAAATCTCAACATAACTATTTTTTATTCCTGTCATCTTTGACATCAAATTAGAATGTTTTGAACTAAAAATAAATCTGCTGAACGACTTCCGATGAGTCTTAATGCCTGAAAAACTCCTGCCGGAGGCGGCGGCCGAAGGCCGCCGCCTCCGGCAGGAGTTTTTCAGGCAGTGCACGAAAGAGGCTTCGAAAGAGGCTTCCGACGAGTACCAAAGGGGTTATAATAGTAAAGGGGGTATAATAGTAAAGGGGGTACAATAGTAAAGGGGGTACATAGTATACCCCCAATAAAGACACCGCTCGTGCTTGCCAGCACTGTGATAAATTATAAATTATACATTATACATTATATATTATACATTGTACATTATACATTATACATTATAATACCTTCCGGGAATTATATCCACTAAAAGTCTCCGACACTGCAAGAGCTGATAATTTGCCGATATATCCCGCAAGGGAAGCCAAGGTATTATCAGCATAGACCTCAGACTGGCTGGCGGCAAGTTTTAAAACAAATAACACTGGCGTTCTATATATTAGACACTATATTGTATCATGCGCACGTATCGGATTACACCCCTTCTAAATCGGAACCGGAAAATATTATAATACATAATACCTTCGGTTCTTCGGGCCGCAAATTCCCTCCAGCAAGCTCTCGGGAATTATCAAGCGGAGCCCGAAGAGCCGAAGGCATTATTATATTATACATTATACATTATACATTATAAATTACACATTATACATTATAAATTATATATTATACATTATACATTATACATTATACATTATACATTATACATTATACATCATACATTATACATTATACATTATACATTATACATTATACATTATACATTATACATTATACATTATACATTATACATTATACATGATAAATTACACATTATACATTATAAATTATATATTATACATTATACATTATACATTTCCATAAATTATTTTTTAAATAATTGGTCCTTTTATTGATGTTTCATATTTCACGGCAGTTTCCTTTTCAGAGTTTGAGTTTATATTTAGAAACTAACCATACTATCTTTTAGATTTATGTCACTTATGATGGCTCCGGCTGAAAGTACTATGACTCATTTTATCTAGAAGATTGTAGTTTCATTGCTTCTGAAGTAGCTATCAGTTCGCCGGTCAATGTTGGGTATAATACTCTTGTGATACATTATACATTATACATTATACATTATACATTATACATCATACATTATACATCATACATTATACATTATACATTATACATTATACATTATACATTGTACATTATACATCATACATCATACATCATACATTATACATTATACATTATACATTATACATTATACATTATACCCTATACATTATACATCATACATTATAAATTATAAATTATACATTATACATTATACATTATACATTATACATTATACATCATACATTATACATTATACATTATACATTATACATTATACATTATACATTATACATTATACATTATACATTATACATTATACATTATACATTATACATTATACATTATACATTATACATTATACATTATACATTATACATTATACATTATACATTATACATTATACATTATACATTATACATTATACATTATACATTATACATTATATATTATATATTATATATTATATATTATACATTATACACACGCTAAACTATTCATAACTAACCTGCCTTCTTAACTAAGGAACCGGCCGCTGGAAATGAAAAATTTTTGATTAACATCATCATCGAAGACGCTGTTAAACATTTTTAGAGTTTTATGATTTGGAATTGAACATTTTTTTTCGTATTGATATTATTACGATAGACTAAGTATACTTCAAAAATAGATATTTAGGACTTTGTTGACGCCGGGGAAATAATGGTAAAGGTGTCTGTGATGAAATATTATGTCTGACGAGTGACAATTTGTTGTAGGTTTATAACCTACCAAGTACGAGTATTACCCGTTAAATAATTTGTTGTCCCGCTGTATTCTAACCCAGTACCCATAAAACCCTGATGAGAAAGAAAACTCGGGGCGGTCCGAGCAGGGATATACATGCAACAATAACAAAATCTCACTTTC